AAAACGTGGCACATAAACACTGCTGGATCCTCACTCACTGTTTCTCTTAAGTTGAAATTATACAATAGGAACAGTTTTTGTTTCCAGAGTGAGTATAAATTTTAGTGTTGGTTGCGACCTATATGCTTAATTCGTTAGATCTTCGAATTATTTCAGCAAGTTTGGCATTTATTGTGTTTTTTGTTCGAGGAATACATGATCTATATACACCAATAGTAAGGGATGTTTTAGGGAATTTATAAGAAACAATTGTTGTTGTAGTTCAGTCTAAAGTTTTATGTGATTAATTTTGAACTGCATGCAGTGTGTAGACCTATGTCGAAAATAAAAATAAAGATGAAGCACATACAGACATACTTGATACTCCATTTAAGTGAGCATATACAGACATACCTTTTGTTCTTGAGATGTTCCCTCAGGCAGTCAATGAGTAGGCGGTCATCATTGGGGCCTGAAGGGAGCGTGCCCCCAACTTCGAGGAGCATTCCTGATAAAATCATGGCCATATTGGGTATTTGGGACACCGATACAAAAGCCGTGCAGTCAAATTGACTCTTGATCTTATCACGAACTTGGTTGGCAAGGGTAGTCTTACCCATGCCTCCAAACCCAACAACAGATACCACTTTAAGCTGCTGTGTGTTCCCCTTTCCCAGCAGCTCGGCGAGCTTCTCCTTGGGGCCATCTATGCCTACAAGGCCAGGGGCGTCTGGATAGAGCGCCCATAGACGTGGGTCAACGGCCACAAGGGCACGAGTCGGTTGCCGACCCGTGGGCTCACCCAGAATTTCATATCTTCTGCGGCGATCGCTTACGTCCACGACCCGAGCCTTGAGTGTCTTCATCTCGCCCGCGAAGCTGAGGCGTACCTTGAGCTTCTCGAGCCAGCGCATACAGCAGCAGGTATTGTTGCTGGCCTCATCGATTGCATGGGCAAAGACATCCGTGCAATCCTCCATGTCGTAGGCTATGTCGCGCACCATGTCACGCCACTCCTTGTCCTGCGGGTTGAGCTCCTCCATCCCGGTCAGGTTCACGAGCAGGGCGTTCATGATCCTCATCTCGTCCCTGGAGAAGGAAATGTCATCCTTCACGCCTCTGGACAGCCTGTACTTCTCTTCCAGCATGGTGCCGAGCTTGGCCAGGAGCGGCCTCATCACTCCTGTGACAGCACTCACCATCACTCCCTCCATCGATTCTAGTGATCTTGTGTCCCTCCCGCGGTGATGACACTAGTGTATATGTATGAGGTTTCAAGAGGAAGAAGAAGTGTAAAGTGGTTTGAGCAGAGATGCCGGTCACAGCAAAGCAGCAGTATATATAGAAAAAAAGATACTAGCTCCAATAATGTTCCCGCGTTGGCGCAGAGGAATTTGCGTGTGGATCCAGCATCGCATTAATTTGACGAGGACCCAGCATTCACTACGGCATGGCAACGGACAGGGACTATGAACCACCACCAAACTTCTCTGCTATGCATTCAAAGCCGTCCTTCAGTCTTTCTGTTACACATTACTAGATGCAGGGACTCTCTGCTCCTTCCGGTTGGTGTCGCTGGTCTTCCTGATAATGAAAGCTCCCATGAGAAGCGAGGGAAACTTTTGGTTCCTGGGTACATATACCAAAACCACTATATCTCGAAAAGTTCTTGCTTCCAGGTTTACCCACTTGTGTGAAAGTGACTTCTTGATTAGCTGGATGGCGACACGTGCATTATTTTGGTAGATTACCGTGTAGAATCACGCGGTGGCCGTAGCCCTTCGATGAAAATTTTGTTAACTGATTCGCATTTTCCTGTGTGGACTTGGGGTGTCTTTAGCGATTTTGGTTCAGATGATTGTTTGATCTTGAAAGCGACCTATGGGCGTTTGGGCTGTTAACGCGTGCATTTTTCTGGGATGTGGCTGTGTACAAATGCATGTGTGGGCGTATATGCATCGGCTAAACCTTTTGAAGGTGCTTGCTTCACTGCCATGTGCTTCTAGCCGTTTATGTTGTAATTAAGTCGGCCATGCGGTGTGTTGGTTTCCAGTTTTGCTTTCATCGTCGGAAACAGACAAGAAAACAAGCAAATCTGCTCAGCAAAGGAACCTGGAAAAATCGGTCACCGCATGCATGCAGACCAATCGAAACACATTGCTTGGATATGTGGCCGACCAATAGCACTCTGACAAAGCGGTGATTGGTGGATGGGCGACTACGTCCAGTTACAAGGCAACTACATCCAATTACAAGACGCCAGAGGGATATGGCCAAGACAGCCACCGCACCGCTCGGGCGTGATTCTAGGCCAGATACGGAACATTCCTTCTGTCTCCCTCGCATGTGCGCTGCATGCATCCCGTCCAATCCACCGCTTTCGTTGCTTTCTTATCTGCCTCACCGCTTACTTGTCCTTCCTTATCTCTTCTTCTTCTGGATGCCTCTGTGGCTTACCGCCCTTGATGATTGAGGTGTTTTCCGGAAGATTCCAGTTGAATCGTCCACCGCCATAAGCATCTATAAATCTCTCCTTCCTCTTCTCTGTGGTCATCACTCGGTTTCGCATCTCAACCGAAGCACCACCGAGAAATAGAGTCAGCGCAAAACATCGAGCCTCTCTTCGCTTCTCTAGTGCGGGATGGAAAGGAGCTTCATTTACTGCCTCGCTGGGCATGTCCCTCCCTCCTAGGCTCCTCCTTTCTTCGACGTGTAGTACGAAGCAAGCTCGGCCATCGCGAGTTGTGGAGCCGTGCTCCAAGGTTCAGAGTGGCTTCCCGTGGGCTCTCCCCACACTGCACCTCCGGGCTTGCCGGGGAGGAGCTGCACCCAGCCTCCGTCGCTGCTACTCCACCGACCGAGAAACTGTATCATTGTCGCTACCATGTGGAGGTTGTCGACGTCCACCACGGGACAACGAGGTGTTCGACGGCCGACGGGCACGCCGGTGAGCTGGTCCCACTTGGGCGCCTCAAAGGCATGGGTGACGCCAGCGACGCGTCCCTAGCGTTGTTGGACGCGATCGCTTCCCTGGAGTAGTGGGCGACGGTGCATGAGATTGGCCACCTGCTTGGCTCGGTCATTTCTCGGTGATAGTAAAAAAAGTATGAAACAAGGAAAATATTATTAACTACATATGGTGTATATATAATTCCGACTATTTGCGTCTCTTTACTACTTTATCATAGGAGCTAATCCAATGGGAGGCTACACCATGATCTAATCTGGCAATGATTCATACCATGTTCGGCAAAATAGATCATCCCTACTAGAGATGTGTCATCATGTATTCCCCTGTTTGTTCACATGCATCATCCTCCCATTTTCCCCCTACATCCATAGTTTTTCATGCGATCATCTGGCATCCTAAAATAACAACACTTATTACAAAGAAAAAACATAATCCTTATAACCGCACCGTATCGACGGGCGCGGCGTGCCGCCGCGCGGGGGTAAGCTAGTGTACCCTATATGGGAAAATATTAGCAATTCAACAAAAAGATCATAATTTCTGAAAATAGTTTAAAATAAACTTGACCTTTCATTGTACTAGTGAGAAAAGTTCCACAAAAAGAAAATTCCTCTTTGACTTCTTTTCAAAAAAGACAAATTTTCAGTCAAAATAGTATGAATAGTGACTTATAATAGCAAATACATTTTATCTTTTTCGTTGTGAAGTCAACGTAGGTTTTTTTTGTGAATATTTATATACTAGTGCACAAGTAAGTCAAGTTTAATCTAAAAATACTTTTAAAGTACTTTGACTTTTTGTTTAATTATTACAAAAATACCCCATATAGGGTGTATATA